TGGCCCCGGCCGCCACTCACCCACGCAGGCCATGCGGGTCATGTCCAGCTGGAAGCCGTCGAAGCAGTCGCAGGTGTAGCCCTCCGGGACGCGGACGCAGCGCCCGTTCTCGCAGCCGTTGAGGATCCCGCACTCCTCGGCCTGCAGCCCCTCAAAGCCCTCGTAGAGGCCTGGAGGGTGGCAAGGCAGTGTCAGAACAGGGTGACCCTCCACCCAGCCGCGGAGGGGACATCAGGCATGCGGCGAGACGGTGGTGCTGGAGCCAGGACTGACTCAGAGCAGCCAGGAGTAGAGCTCGCTCCAAGCCTGGAGCACCCTGGCCAGAGTAGGGAGTCCCCATGGGACACAGGCTGGGTGGGAAGGCACCTCTCTGTGTCTCCCAGTACTCACCAGTTTGGCTGGGCCGGTAGCGGGGTGGGGACCACCCTGGACCGTGGTGGAGAGGGCTGCCACGAAACTCGCTGTTGTGGTCCCTCCGAGGGAAACCAGCATCAGGGTTTCCATACTCAGACTCCAGGTAGTTGTAGTAGGGGCCCGTATCAGGGCTGGGAAGGCCATAGTGGGGGTCTTCCAAGCCTGGTGCATACTCATACCTAGGTCCTTCTCGGAGCTCAGCCCCTCTCTCACTGTCTTCACTGGCCCCATTACACAGGAAAGCAAAATCCGCTGCAAGTGGTGAGAGAAAAGGAATGGTCAGCAGCCTGGCTCAAGAGGTAGGTCCACTATGGCCAGAGAGGGTGCATCCGCAGCAGGCCAGCAGAGCCAGGCCTGCGTTCAATGGTGTTCAAAGCTGCAGCTCTGTAGTTTGATGATGGGACCCCATCTTTGAGAAGACCAGCTCCCGTCCAGGGCCAGCAAGTCCTTGAGCAGCAAGAACCCCAACTCCCAGTGTGCTCCTATGTGCTCCTATCCTAAGCTGCCACAGCCTCACCTGTCGTAAGCTAAGCAGGAACAGTGGGATGCTCAGAGAGAGAGCAACTCTCCCCTCAGAAATCTTGGACTCGTTGCAAACCAATTTCAGGTACATCCTACCCGCTGGTGCAGCTCAGCCCTGGAGAAGGGGAGGTTCATCCACTCCTTGGGCTGGCTTTGGCAATGCAGACAAGAGGAACCCCCGCT